GTTTTATAACAGTTATTTTTCCTATGACTTTTTTCCATGACGTTTTTTCCTATGACTTCTTTTCCATGACTTTTTTTCCCATGACGTTTTATCCTGTGACTTTTTTTCCGTCCACCCATCTCCATGCAGGCGGCGTATGACGTCTGGAGGGGCCCGTCTTGAGAGGCGTTTTGGAAGTTGGATGAAGAAAACCCAAGTTCTGTGGATTGTCATGTCGGATCACATGCTGATAACGGTGTTAATACTTGCACCGAAACGTCGCACTCATTGCAATAAAGAAGTTGACTATCCATAGAACCTCATTTTCTAACTTTTCGAACTTCTAAAATGCCTCTCAAGAAGTAGTATGCGACAACTGTTCAAGCTTGGACTCGAGTATGTAATGTGTCTGCGTGATATGGAATCCTAGATGTTAGCATCTGGATCAACACGAGCGGGAAATGTGTTGTGAATATTGATCGAGGCGAATTACATATTTGACAACATGATTTTTGTCATGTCTGATATGAATATACTTCATGATTGAAGAACGCTCCGGGCATGTTAGAATGTACTGAGGGCACTCAGGGACACCCAAATAGGGCCAGCGGCCACTCAGGGACACCCCGAATCGGGGCGGTGGCCACTCAGGGACACCCGAATCGGGGCGGTGGCCACTCAGGGACACCCGAATCGGGGCGGTGGCCACTCAGGGACACCCGAATCAGGGCGGTGGCCACTCAGGGACAACCGAATCAGGGCGGTGGCCACTCAGGGACACCCCGAATCGGGGCGGTGGCCACTCAGGGACAATTAAACGAGTTCGGTTGGCGGCCACCCAGGGACAACCGAATCGGTCCGGTGGCCACACAGGGCATAACTCCTCAATAACGGGCTTATTGGCAACAAACCTTAAAGGTCACATGCAACCAAAAATCAAACATAATTAAAACACAATTATCACTTATTCATGACATATAATATACATTGCTGATTATGAAAAAAAATATAAGCGTACAATCGTAAATCAAAAGTGCAATACTTTGTACTTGGGTTTACTTCCCTAGAAACGAAGCAGCCGGGATACCGAACCCAGTCAGAGCGGGTGGGTGTGCACTCAAGTGTTACGGCTGGTTCATTTGCAGATGCCCTCACGGCTCATTTGTGTGTATATATAGAAATGTTAGGTTTTATAAATATATGCTCATTTTTTGTGTATAACATTTTGCAATCAACAGACATCATAACCTGTCATGTGTACAAGTATCAACCCTGCCTGTCTGTGTAATTACATAATGTGACAGAGACCGAACTCGGGCCATAAATCAATCATGCATTTTGTTTATGGTGTATAGCCTGATAGGTGTTACGTTCAAATTGCATGTGGTCAGTGATAGCAGCTGTGTATTGAATATTGTCATTAGCAGACAGGCAGGCAGACACATAGGTGTCAATAAAACAGACATTGAGTTTTGTCTGTGACAACGACATATCTATATCACAGTTAGAAACTCTGCCAACGCTAAATAATGACATTGCTTTTAAAGATCACATATACTCAAGGAGGTACAAATACATAAATCACTAACTGGCATCGCTATAAATGAAACCCTGTCATTAAAACTACTCACTTCGGTCTTTAATTAACTTAAATTGTCCTTTTTGACAACAGTGCACAATTCTCACCCGCGAACGAAATTTCAACCAAACAGAACTGGGCGTCTCTGTGACGTCATATATGAGGAATATGAGGGCCGATGCAGAATTCATCTACATTTCGGGGGGTAAATTATCTTGTTTATAGGTTTGTATAAGCCTGAAATCGTGACAATGTTGTTGAAAATGAAAGCTATATGTTCTCACAATCTACTGTCATTTAATTTTGTCTCCTGCTTTGCCTAGTTTCCGAGTTACAACTTGTTTTCATAGACGATTCTGTCAAAATCGATTGGTGTCGTTAGGCCCTATTTGTATAATGACTGATCCAAATTGATCCCATTTCTGTGGGTTTTTTTTACCTCGATATTTAATCATGTCATGTAAAAATCTGTTTGTATTCTCAAAACAGTGTCAGCCCATAAGTTTCCACATGCAATACAGCAATTAATACTCCCTTGTTGTAACCCGTGTTAGGTGGTATAAACCTACACATGTTATTTGTCATCATTCACTTGATGACCTGTTTGATGGGCATTTTAGAAGTTGAGTTAATGAAGAATAATGACAATAATGAATTTATAACAGGTATAATTAGTGGTAACACACTTAGATTACCCGACAAAGGTTCCCATTTGGCATTTCTTGTGTAAATATTCAACATTATAAACATCGATCAAAGGATTAACCGATATTACGCAGATTGATTAACTACTTTTCTTACACAGCGGAATTGTCAAAAGGTAGTGTTTATGTGTGTAGATTTATGAATCTATACTGAATACACTCTGTCGTGTCGGTGTCTGCGTAAAAACAACGTCCTTCTTTCAAAGGATTAACCGGCAATACATTGATTGATTGCCCATTATTGGGTAACTAAATTACTGTTTTTAAAGAAAGGCGGCCATTATGCAATTAGTTGCCAGGTGTGCTATCTTGGGTGACCAATGAGACTATACACCAGTGTGAAATACCTGAAAAGATTTATCACTTTTTCGTATATTAAACTGTTAAAAGACACATCACTTGGAACAGCTGCAGATGAATGGCATATCACTCGGTTTTGTGGATATTTATGGATACATTCCTCGAACAAGGTAATGGCCTGATGTTGTTCCTATAACTTTAATCTGTTTTAATTTTAATATTTGCATTTTGTTTTTATTCATTTGTCGTAGCATTCAACAGAATCATTGTTTTCGCCGTGAAGTGTAATGAGACAGACAACATACACTAGGGTGTGTGTGCGAATTATGATTCACATTGGCAAACGATAAAATGTCTAGATATTACAGTTCTGTTATAAAATTCACTATAAGTATCAGCAGATCGTCTGCTTTTTATTTAGTTTCAAAATGCATACAAGTATGATAATAAACTAATTAGGATTATAAGACCAAATATAAAGACGCACATTGACTAGTATCTACATACTGGTGAGTGCACGTTAACCACGTGAATGTAGCAAGAAATTTATCGCGCAGTATTGTGACTTCGACCCCCACCTCGCTTCCGTGGAAGAAATCGTTATGTTATAAGTTGTGTCATGCAAAACCCTTTTGGTTATGATTCCAATACATATTTAACTACGAGTAGAAAGTAGTTTTGATTTTCTAACTTGATGAAAACAAACTATAATCTCATTAATTCTAACAGACTTTACGACTTTCAAAAATGGCGGCGCACTATCGGGAACATCCGCCAGTCTGAGGTTACCTATGTTATATTTGGGATTACACTTTCTTAGGAAAGTACAAATTCTAGTACTTTTATGAGTTGAGCCCCATCCGGGATTCGAACTCACACCCTCAGAGTCAGGTACCCAATCGCCAGCACACAAAGGCAGCCGCCTAACCCACTCAGCTACCGCGACTTCCACAAAAATAGAAGTCGGACAACTGGTAGTCTAGACTGCGGGCTTTGTGTACCCCTCTGATAAGTGTTAATTGGCACGGCTCCCACGGGCGAAAGCTATGGTTACACAATGCCATTTAGAAAGTGTACTCGTACTTTTTGAGTTGAGCCCCATCCGGGATTCGAACTCAAAAGTACTAGAATTTGTACTTTACTAAGAAAGTGTAATCCCAAATATAACATAGGTTACATTTGACCACTTTCTAAATGGCATTGTGTAATCATAGTCTGAGGTTAAATGCTATTTAGGTTAGTGAAGCAGGCGACTTTTTGGCAACTTTTAATAGCTCGGTATTAATTAACCACATGTTTTTTAAGAATGAATTTGGTGTTCCGCATAAGTCTAACCACAAATCTTTCATATGTAATAGTTAAAATAGTACCCAAAAAAAAGTTTATTGTTTATTAATGTATGTGTCGGTCTTCAATATCCTTCACGTGACTCGGTAAGAAGAACGAATGGTGAAATAGACAAATGAAATTATATAAACAGTTAAATCGGCAATCTTCTGTCATAACATATACTATAAAAGGCTCGCGCCTGTGAAATATCAACAAAACATTAGAAAAATAGCTCACACCAAAGCCTTCACCGAGTATTCACCGGACAACCCGCTTACAAGCTGCGCGAACCTATTTCACTGCGCACATGCTATGAGCGCAGCCCAGCTACTGAAACCACTTTTCCCCCAAGCGCTGGGGGAAAATTAGTGAATCGTTTGAATTCCGATTTCGCGCGGTATTTTTCATCGCGGTAATTTTTAACTTTATAAGTTGAATTTGCATTTTTGATGATTTGTTTCGGTAAGTCCATACCGAAAGGTATCAGAATCTGCAAAGTTGTGTTTTACGTTGCAAGTGACCTTTAACAATCATAACTCTCTAGAGCGGACCCAGGCATGTTTCTGTTAACAGAATCAATGGATAGAAACATATATATTTAAAAAACAGTAACAACATAGGTGATGGGAACTTTAATATTGAAATAAACGTCACTTTTTTGTAAAGATATGATTATACAGGGACACGTGGAGCAGTACAGATAGATGTGTTCATGCAGAAAACAGGAATATCCTTAACAACATTTAATGAGACTATTTACTTTGGAGGACAGATCATATAATAATTATTATACCATAATATAGTGTCTCTCTGTTCGCAGTTAATGTTTTGACTATTACTCAACAAACACATAATGTATAAAATATATGTTATATTTGCAATTTGGATTACACTTCCTTGGTAAAATAACATATGTTCTTGGTAACTACTAACATATGTTACATTTGACCGCTTTCTTAATTGTGTTAATATAATTAATTTACGCTGGACCATATACATTTTTACTATCTTTACCTCGCACATGCGAACAATTTTGTCGGCAACTTGAAAGACAAACGAACACAACCAGTGTAGCAGCTGATTGGTCAATTCAGCCGAGCACGACCTCTCGTGTGCCCTCTGCATCAGAAAGTCAATTTGCGATGATGTTACTGGGACCGAGGTTTCCTGGTTCACCACGAGCGAAGCAATCGACAGAAGCATAGGGTAAGTTGTTCCAGCGCATTAATATTACTACTTGCGAGTTCTATTTTCAAATTGTGCATTCAATGCAGAAAAAAACACTTCTGAAAAATCAGATAAGACGGAAACATCCCGGGAATCTGGCTTCGGAAATACAGCCAAGGAAAGACAACTGTGGTGGTTCTGATTGCGCAGGATTACACGCGATTGTTTATCTGTGTTTCAGTGAGGCTTCCGTCAAACCTGGTTCATTGTTCACATGCACGTGTATGGGATGTTTGGCTGCAAACTGGTCATTTAGATGTACTCTGCTGGCAGTCACACCGTTCTCGTGCACCACCCGAACAAAGGTGTCCCGTATATAGGTCACTCTCGCCATGTTATTATGGGAAAACCCCAGTTTGGTTTGACCACTGACGTAGCAGCGTGTGTATTGTGTGTATTGTGAGGATAGCCGATGACGTGTTGCCTCAAAGCAAACATATTAGTTCAAAATATGTTAATGATACGTGGAAATGGTGGTTACTTCTGTTTTTGTTATCTATAAGATGAACTGTCGCTGTTCAGCTGCCAGGCCGTTCTGGTCCATGATCAAACAGTTTGAAACAAACACTAAAAAACATGGTCTAGCAACATTTAACAGTGCACCATCCGAAGTTCAGCTGATACGCTTTACCCACGGTATTCATAAACAAATGTGGAAATCAGATCGCTCCAGCCTTAGTGAAGCTAGACGGTATCTCTATATTAAGGATATAGTATTTCGAAAATATGTTACTGTGTTTAATATTCCTAAATATAGATTTGCGCTGCCCCACTTTAGATAAGTTCACACATGTGTCTGATAGAAAGAGGATGGTAGGGTAATATGAAACTTCCCCTCGATAGGCGACTTTGTCATTACTGTGATAGTGATGTTGAAGACAAATACCATGTGTTGTTGGTATGCCCAGTCTATGTCAAATACCATGTGTTGTTGGTATGCCCAGTCTATGTCAAATACCATGTGTTGTTGGTATGCCCAGTCTATGTCAAATACCATGTGTTGTTGGTATGCCCAGTCTATGTCAAATATCGTAAACGTTATTTATCAGCCTGTTATTATTACCACCTAGTATGGTGACATATGTCCAGTTGATGAATATTCCATGCCGAAATGCTATTTAAGTTTATCTACAGTCCGTTTGACTTAATTTGAGACCTAGAATTGCTCACTAACACAAAATCTAATAAATGCAACAAAATCAAACAGGTAATCAACAAGCATGTGCAGGTGTACCTGTACACCTCACACACCTGGCTGTTCTCCCAGCAAGTGGTCCTCCCTCGTAAGAAATAGTGAAAAGTGACAACAAAATCATGATCATTTAAACAACTTTTATATTCGGGTGTCCAAAATTATGAGACAGATCATCAAAGTTGGTCTGTCGATTTCATGTGACTGTGCAAAGTTTGATTTTGTTGCATTTATTAGATTTTGTGTTAGTGAGATTGGATTAGGTGACTCATATACCATTTAGGACATGAATGGTAATTAGGATATTAGAAATCAGAAAAGGGACACACGTAATGATTCAGTTAAGTGTCTTCTGGCGCCTGTCAGTCTGAAGTACGTTTTGGTTATGCACGTTTGAATGTTTCACAAATGACTTAAGCTCATTAACGAGGTAATTTCATAATGGAAGAATTTGATGGTACCGATGAAGGAGGCACTGATCCAGGGCGGTTAATGTCTCTCACCAACACGGGCTCATCAGTACCTGCTCCCTCGACCGTGACGGACACAGGGACTGGGCTACTGTCCACCTTGGCAGAATTTCTTCAACCTAAACAGTGGGACATTAGGAAGGGTGGATGCCTATCAGTAGGGCTGTGCAATATTACCGGTATATACCGGTTCGGTATCTCGCGATACGATTATCGCGATATGGTTCAGATTCTGCAATATATTGGGCCATCCAGAGTTAGCTCCATTTGAATTATCTGCCCTTGATTTCCATAGCAAAAAATGTGCTCTAAAAGTGCCAAATATACTTTTATATCTGTTGGTTTCATGTAACATGTTACAAGTGGAAGTGTGATGCTAAGTAGCTCAAAAATTGCCAAATATTCTACCAAATGATTTACGTTTTGTGTGTTTGAATGGTTTCATTTGGAGGAATTAAGTGGCCTCAAATTGACCAATTTTTATTTGGATTTTTTAATAGAGTCTCCGGCTCTGAGTGACCATTTAACAGTTCACAGTATTTTGTTATTTTTGTTTGTTTCATAATGGGGCAGATGATATCAATTTATCATAAAGGCCTGAGTCTTAGAAAAATTGTAAGACTGTATAATGACATTCCAGTCAAGGATCTTAGTCATTGGAGGTCACATGAGATTGTAATCTCAAGTAGTTCAACTAAATCATGCTTGTGTTTCGTTTTGCAATAGTTCATGTTAACACGTTTATTTTGGAATTGACATATAGTAACAATAATAACATACTGCATTGAAGTGCATTCTGTTTAAGCAAACAACACTGACCATGAAAATCTTGTTATACTATTGCCTTTATCATTATGTTCGTAAAACGTTGTTGCAGTACATTCCACATTAAGGCTCTACAATATTTTATTTATCTGTAAACCACTGGCATACAACCATACACAATGGGGACGGGGAGCCTGAAGGTATGGTGTAACAGCAACTGAGAAGATGATGTCGCACACAGAGAGGTATTGTGAATTTATGATGTACGCACTTGGACAGAAATCTTCCAGTCAATATATCACAATATGTATTGCAATATCTCTTAAATTATTGCAATATAACACAATATGAAAATCAGGGCCCTACCCATCAAATGCCGTTATTTGAAAATATCCCTGATAGTTCTTGTCTGATTGTAATAAAGTATCCCAGCAGTGTAGGCTTTTCTGATTTTATAATGTCTGGATGATATAGTGACTAATCCAGTTTGATCCTATTTCTGTTTTTTTTAACTTAATATTTAATCATGTCATGTAAAAAATATGATGTCTATTACCTATGATATTGAAAACACACATTAGATTTATTTGAATCCATAAACTAAGTAACCCCACTCAGATTGCTAGACAAATCTGACACTATACTTAGGAAAATAGGTATATACAATGTTTAACTTAAGTACACAGCAATACTTATGTGTATTTCTTATGCAACAATGAAGTTCCGTTCGTATCCTCAAAACAGTGTCGGTTCACATGTGTTTCAGTCCTAACATGTGTTACCACTGGCAGATGGTTAACTTCAAAATGTTTTCATTTGTTATCATATTAATGAAGATGAAAATATTATCGAGTGAAAAAGATTTCATCTTTGTTGATCAATCTATACTTATATACTATCAACTGCGGATGTGGGTGGTGCAGCAGAGGTCATGAACCAGTCAAGAATTCTGGGATATCATCTGGGTACTCACGGGAGAAAAACAACAAAAGCAACTATACCAGTCCACGGAAATTGCTCTAAATCAGTGCCCCTTTAAGTCTTGGAAGAGAGGTGATGAAGGTAATTAGTGGTTCAGTTGGGATATGAGTCATGTTTGCATGACATAGGACATTACTTCAGGGGGAGGAGCCAAAATTGTCAAAAGTACTGTTAGTTGTCCGTTGAATGGTGCACAATTCTGGGCCCCACCGTTGACTTAAGTGGTTCTCTCTGTATATTGAGAGAATGGCTCAGATGAACTTATAGCATTAAGAGTTGTACAAGAAATCAACAAGTTCTTCCAGGAAGCAACAAATCTGTGTTGTGTAACCCAGGGAAACTAGGCAATATCTGACGACCTTTGTGTGTGAATTCATTCCAAAATAAATGGACTTGAACACCACACCAGACTTATCTTTGAGTGTTCATCTTAGCTACATCATCTCCAGAACAAGAGTAGATAGAAAGATTGCCTGGGGAGAAGGGTATAACACCCCGACACTCTCAGGAAACACCTGGTGGAGATGCTTTAAGTTCTCTGTTCCCAGGGTATGAAACTCCAACAAATTTCAGCCAGATAAAGGGCTGGTTAGATGTAAAACTTGCCAGCACTGACCAGAACATACCTGCCCACAAAATATCTTCATATAATGTCTAAATTTAACCCGTGGTCAAATGTTTTTCCTGGTGTGTGAAAAGTTATGATTCTGTCGGACTTGCAACTGATGAGGAGAGGTATGTGAACTGTTTCAATCTCCTGCGATGGGCACATGCTATGTGGACCTGGAAGTTGGGTTACTGGAAAGGGTGAATTTTGCCCTTAAACTGCATGAAGACCTCTCCCCATGCCTGACAGTGAACATTAACTCCAGAGGCCCAGATAAGCTGTGTATCCGGGTAAAATACGCATAGAAAATTTCCAATTACGCATTTAAAAATAATTGTTGCGTACCAATTACGCATTTAAAATGTTAGATATGCAAAAAGTTTAAAACAAATGCGTACGGAATATATTTATAAAAATCGCTTGTGTAATAAAAAAGACATCGATTGCTATCAAGTTGTAGTGTTAGTATAGGACTAGGGTTGTACTGTCAGTATCGGATAAGTGATTTTTTTATTAAATCATTTCCATTATATTTAAGTTGGTTTTGATTAGGTATGACATAAGGCAGAACATACCTGCTTAGTTAACTTACTCATAATACTTAGGTGAGTAAAATGACTGAAATACGCACATATTTGAAAGCAGTGGGTAACTGAAAATGAGATACCAACTCAACATTCATAATACCCACTCCAAAAATTTACAGTGGGTACAGTACCCACATGAGCTAAATCTTATCTGGAGCCTTGAACTCTGTGGGCCCCGGGACTTATTGATTTTCTGGACAGTGTGGTCACTACCACTACAGTGTTATTGATTTCCTGGTGTTGGACAGTTTCAGCGGGACAGACCCCAGCAGCCTACTTGTGTGATTAGTAACTTTCTTCAGTGTTCATTGACGGTTTAGCTTGTGTACTGTGAGAGTCTGACTTGTAACGATCGTTGTACCAATTATGTGTTACAT